GGGTGTGTCAGAGGCAATGAGATTGGCACAGGATAGAACAGGGTTTAGGGCTGTTGTACATAGGGTCACTATGAGTTGCAAACGACTCGACGGCACATAACAACAACAGCATATATCTAAGGAGATTAACACACTCAAGAATTTCTGGATGCCACCAGCTAAATAGATAGTTGCATGAAGGGGAAATAACTGAACAATTGCCATTTGAAAACATAGTACATTTTTTCCTTATGCTCTAGAAGTTCCTCAGGCCTATAGACCAAAGACTAATTATAAGAATTTCATTCTGTTCGTTAAATAATTAACTTTAAAAGTGTTGTTGGTTTTTATTACGGGACAGTGTAAAATTTATTTTGACTTTTAGGTCCTAATCTAGTTTATTGGACTAGTCTGTTCTACTAATAACCTTCTTGCTGTATAAGTTACTGCCTAAACGTTATTATGCTTAATTGAAAATCACTAGAAAAAGCTGTGATTCTTCAAGTGATTTGCAAATATGTGATTGTTCAGAAATTTCATCTTTAGATACTTACTGAAATTAATTCTTTTACTTGATGGTGTTTTGTGATTTTATTTTTGTATATTTAAGCCACTACTTATTACAAACAGTCATGTTTCATGTTCTTGAACAAATTCAAGCAGTATCAAAAGAGATCGGTACAAAGAGTATCAATGGTTGTAGTGAATGCTAAGAGGTACATATTGGAAATATTTGTGATCTAGTGAAAGATCATGAAAGCATTATCTTAGTAATAAGTAAACTAAAGAACTGATAGTTTGATAAATTTTATCACTTTAAAATGAACTTTCTTTTCCTTGACCATTTTTATCAGCTATTATTTTCCAAGAAGTAAGGCTGTTGTCCACCATTCACAAAATGCATCTTCTACCTCAAGATAGACTTATTTTTAACAATAGGCCCAATGTCAGACCCAGGCTTCAGCAACCACCTAATGAGATGATTTGTCCAGAGCTACTGCATTGCAATATTTTTTTAAAATTCTTTTGGATTTTATAGGCCTCTGAGACACTGGTTTTGAATTTTAATTTCATTGTCCTGAATGCCCTGAATGAATTTTATTTTGTTGCTATAACACAGGGATGTATGACTTATTTGAGAAAGCCTGCTGGCAGTTTATCAAGATCTCAGTTTGCATAATATGCATAATAAAAAAATTTCCATCTTTAACAATTTCATTGCCTTAAATTCTCACTCTGTCAGGCTACTTTTCTTTCCTTCAACCACCATGATTTTTTTGTTTTGGTTTTTGTACAGAGGAAAAGTCTGTATGGAAGAAGAAACTAAGGATACTACAGGGTAACAGAACAGGGTGGTTCCAGGAAGAGGCAAGCACCTTTGGCCTTTTCCAGCTCTGGGGAAGACAGGCCTCTGAGAGGTAGACATGTGAGCTCCTTGATCCAGGCTAGTGGATCTCCTCCCCACTTTTCTCACTTCATAGCATCAAGATCTGAAGAACACATTGACCCAAAGATCTGTCATGGGTCTTTAGAAAAATCAGAAGACCTCCTTTTTTCTAGCCATAACTCAATTCATCATCAAGAAATGAGAGAATTTTTTTGATAATGTCACAAAACCAGCCTAGAAAGACTACTGGAGAAAGTCATTGGGAAACACTGAATAGCTTGTGACTTTTCACCTTTCTGTGTATAAAGTCTCAGTTTTCACTGATGGTCAACCAACAGTTGGGCTGAATTCTGTTATTGTGTGGCCTTCAGCACCCACAGTACTTCCAGAGGACACGTCAGAAGCCTCCGACCTGGGCCACTGCCTTAGGGAATTCTGGGCATTGGGGGCTTGGTGACTTGTGTCCCTCTAAGGAATCTGGTGCCTTAAGTACCAGGGTTATACTCTTCACACCTTCAGTGTTCAACCATTTAGCATCTTTGCCAAAGACATGCTTGTGCTTGTTAGGTGCTGTCAAGTCAAGTATGCCTCATACTGACACTCTGAACAAAAGATCTGAACCCTGTTCTATCCTGCGCAATCCTCACACTTCCTGACACATAAGAACCCATTGCAGCAGTCACCGTGTCAGTCCACCTGGTTGAGGGTTTTCCTCTCCTTCTCCCACTCCACGCTTCCCAGCATATTATCCTTCTCTAAGAAATAACCCCTCCTAGCAACATACCCAAAGTATGTGAGGTGAAGCCTCATCATTCTTGCCTTCAGAGAGCACTCTGGTAGCACCCTCTCCAAGACATATCTGTTCATTCTCTTGGCTGTCCATGGGATGTTCACTGCTCTTCTCCAACACCACAGCTCAAAGGCATTAATTCTTTTTCTGCCATCCTTATTCATTGTCCAGCTCTCAGATGCATTGCAATTGATAAGAAAAACCATGGCCTGAATCAGATTCATCTTAGTCCTCAAACTGACATCATTACTCCTCAATAATTTGGAGAGGTCCCTAACTGCAGATTTTCCCAGTGCAGTGCGATCCCTTATTTCCTTATTGCTGGTACCACATGTGTTAATTGTGGATCCAAGCAAGATGAAGTTACTGACAGTTTCATTCTCCTCCCTGTCCATCATGGTACTTACTGCCTGTTGGTTCAGTAGTAAGAATCTTTGTATTCTTGACATTGTGTTGCAATTCATACTGAAAGCTGCATTCCTTGTTGATCTGGAACAAATGCTTCAAGCCCTCCTCACTTTCAGCAAGCAAGGTTGTGTCATCTGTATAACGCAGGTTATTGATGAGTCTCCCTCCAATCCTGATGTCACGTTCCTCTTCATAGAGTCCAGCTTTTCAGATAATTTGTTGAGCATGTTGTTGTTGTTGTTATGTGCTGTTGAGTCGTTTGCGACTCATAGCGACCCTATGTACAACAGCCCTAAACCCTGCTCTATCCTGTGCCAATCACACTGCCTCTGACACACCCATCCTGATTATCCCAGTCACTGAATCAATACACCTCATAGCGGGTCTTCCTCTCCTGCGCTGTCCCTCCACCCTACCAAGCATGATGTCCCTCTCCAAGGACCTGTCTCTCCCTACATGTCCAAAGTATGTCAGATGAAGCCCCAGAATCCTTGCCTCCAAGGAGTAGCCTGATTTAACCCTCTCTAGGATGAATCTTTTTGTTTTCTTGACAGTCCAGGGTACATTCAATACTCTTTTCCAGCACCACAGCTCAAAGGCAGCAATTCTCCTTCTATCCTCCCTAGTGATTGTTCAACTCTCTGATGCATAACAAGTGATTGCAAAGACCATGGCCTGTATCAGTCAGGTGCACCTTAGTCTCCAGAGCGACACCGTTGCTCTTTAGAGAGGTCCCTAACAGCAGACTTTCCCATCGTGATCCATTTTTTTATTTCCTGGCTGCTGGTGCCAATGATTGTTCAGCATACAGATTGAATATATACAGAGTGAGAATACAACCCTGATGGACTCCCTTAGAGGAGTTCCTTCTTTTTTTCCTCTTAGAGCTTTTTTGCGTCCATTTTCACTGGGTTCTACCACTCTTTGCACCATTCACTTGGGTTATTTTTAACTTAGTTTCTTGACTGCTTCTTTTGTCTTAATGTTTGTCTTCAACTAGAGACATAATTAGAACCCTGAAACGGGAGAATGTTGTGAAACCTAACCTATTGTACAGATAAGCTGCCATGACTTGAGGCTTTCTCTGCTGCTTCTATCCTGTTGCTGAAATTTCCCACATTCTGCCTCTCTAGCTAGTTGATTCCCATGTGACTAGGCTAACACACTCTGTGCGGAAGAAATGATTTAAAAGTTTATCCCAGAGATAGCAAGGCCAAGGAACAGTGGTCTACTAGAGAAGCCAGTTTTTTTACTGGTTTGCATACACAATTTGTAAACAGTACGTTTCACACTTCCTTCATACTGTGTTTCATACAATCATTCCCATTTATTATGTTTTATAAAGTTAATCACCGTTGAACTATGCCCACCATTACCTTGTCTTTTTAGGTCTCTGTTAGAACTTTCCCATTTTCTTTAACCCCCTCCTTCCACCCACCAAATTGTGTGATCCCTGTGATTTCTCCCCCCACCCCACCCATCCTCACCCCCTGCTCCCACCCTTCCTTCTTTGAGCCCCCATACACGTTTTACTAGTTATCCCTATGTTTTTGTGATGGTATCTCATGGTGTTTTTTATTTGCATTGTTGTCGTGTACCTTGAAGACAGAACCAACCCATAGTTGACCCTCGAGCGGGTTTTCAGAGGTATTTAATCACACAGGAGATTGCTCATTCTCCGGCGGAGCTGCTGATGTGCATGGAGAAGCCTATTTTTGAGTCAACAGACCCACAGACCCACTATACCGTGGAACCACTGGTGGATTCAAGCCCCTTCAGTATTTGTGATAGGAAAAAATAGGCCATTAAAAAAAATTAATGATATTGTACGATAATGTCCACACTGTCAGATCATTTTTTTTTTAATGGGAATAAATATGGATCTCTTCCAGTCAGTTGCCCGGGTAGTTGTTCTTCAGATTTCTTGGCACAACCTGGTGAGCACGTCCAGGGCAGCATCTGCTTGTTGAAATATGCCAACTGGTATTCCATCAATTTTGGGGGCTTTTTTTTTTGCCAAGTCCTTCAGAGCAGCCTGAACTTCCTCCTTCACTACTATTGTCTCTTGATCGTAGGTTGTTTCTTGAAATTCTTTTCTAAGGATTCTGTATACTCCTTCCATCTTTTAATACTTTCTGGATCATTCAATATCCTACCCATAGTATCCTTAAGTACTTTAACTCGAGGCTTGAATTTATTCTTTAGTTCCTTCAGCTTAAGAAATGCTGAGCTAGTATGGCCCTTTTCAATTTCACACTCCAGTTCTTTGCTCATTTCATTATAATACTTTGCTTTGTCTTCCCACACTGCTCTTTTAAATTTTGTACTCAGCTCCTTACCTTCTTGATTTCCTCCCTTTGCTTTGGCTTCTTGGTGCTCTAGTGCAATATTCAGAGTGTGTTCTGGCATCCATTTTGATATTTTCTTCTGTCTTTGTAATGCCATTCCTCTGGTATTCCCTGCTTTCAGCTAAGATCCATCTAAAATTAGCTACAATATTCCTAGTCCCACGACCCCCTTTTAACCCAGTCTGGACTTCCGGCAGTTCTCTGCTGATGTGCTGTTCCAGTCATTTTTGGATAATCTTCAATAGAATCTTGCTTGTTTGTGAAATCAGTGATATTGTTCTGTAGTTTCCACACTCTGTTGGGTCACC